GAAGAAAACGGCCGCACTTTTGGAAAAGTAGTAACTGGCTTCTCCATTACGATAATGCGCCAGCGCATTAATCCAATCTTGTGCAGCAGTTTTTGAGCAAACACAATATCGCATTGCTTCGACAACCTCCATACAATCCCGACATATCCTCTTGTGACTTTTGGCTGTTTCCAAAACTAACAAAACCACTCAAAGGACACTGATTCGATGATAAAACAACGGTTGAAAACAATACGACGAGTGTACTTAAGGCTATCCCTAAAAGTGAGTTCCAGGACTGTTTTGAAAAATGGAAACATCAATGGAACCGTGTTATTCAATCAAGTGGGGATTACTTTGAAGGATGCCACCTACCAGATGATAAAGAATAACGCTAGCACGAAAATATAAAGGTAGGCCCGATACTTTCCGGACAGACCTCGTATATGTGTTCACAAACACTGTGTAACAAACAACACAAAAAATCTCATAAAAATTTAAGAACATATAACCTCAAAAAAATGCAAGTAATATCATAAAGCTGAAGAAAAAACTAAACGAAATTACATAAATGACGAACAAATAGGTGACCTCACACGTAACAAAGTTACGATGTACAAAACATTGTAATAACAAAAAACCCAAGCAATTGAGCATTACACATAAATAATTTTCAAAATCTACTCTCACTGAATCAAAATCTACTTCGAACACAAATATTCTTAAATATGTAACGGAGAATCTCGGCTAGGCCGATTTCGTCCGTTTGGCTCTCGCAAATGTCCGTGCGCCGCGCCAAGCTGAGAGTGTGTGCGTTTGGTACACACACTAATACTTGGATCTTTTGTTTACAAGGTGCTGAACATGGGCTGAGCTGACGACTGGAGCAATGCAGATGGCGCAGAAAAAAAGAGAGAGAGAGAGAGAACGCTCGAATTGCGGATCGCCGAGGAAAATTCGAGAGAGTCTCTGCTAAGCTATGAGCAGAATAAGTCGCGCGTGCGGATAAAACCGAAAGGTCACGGTTTTCGAAGTTGGCCCCGCGACCTCGCCAACGTTTTATTTCGGAGACACGCCCGGTGCGCGGATGGTAATAGAGCGTGAGGCTGGGTCGCGCCCAGCAGTGTCCCGAAGAATACCCGGCACTGGCGAGGTGCGCGGGTGCGCGCGCGAGGAATTTGACGTGCTGCAGCACCAAGCAACGGAGAAGCGGCAGAAACAACCACAGCAATTCTCGGGTGAAACAAGGGATTGAGGCAGTATTGTGGAGCGAGCGAGAAAACGAGATAGATAGCTATAACAACAAACATCATCGAGACGGTCAGCGAGGGGCACACCAGAGACGTCACACTGCGGAGCGCTCTAGCCGTCGGAGAGGCTGAAGGTCGAGGTCGGTGTCGTATTTTTCTCTTGATTCTCTCTCTCTTGCATATTTGGGCGCCAGCTTATGGGTAGTAGCACGGCAGACCTGCTGGCTACCCGTTGATAGTTTATCGGCGGAAAGTGTTTGTCGGGCATTTATTGTAATAATTAGCTCTAACAAGGGAATCGGCAGACTGACCAGCCACCGATTCATCTTCGCGTCCGCGTTTGTTCTTGTGCAGCTCGTAGTGTATAAGTACGAGGTCGCCGTATTGTAATCGATTGTTGACAAGTAAAAGACTAGTGTGTCAATCCATTGTTGTGTTTATTCGCCGCTGTATCACTCCTCATCCCGATTTCGAATCTGTGCGTTTAACGTGTTTATGCTCGACGCGTTATTCAGTCGTGGGAACGTCTTTTGCTTCCCGAAACCCTGAATAAATAATTTGTGCGGACGGCCGCGAGTAACCCAGACGGGAAAGGCCGAAATTCATCGTTACAAATAGAAATCAATTAAAACTATGTTCGCCTAAATAGATAAGATAGCAGTAAGAAAAGAACAGCATAAAAGCGAATATATCAAAAATACAATTAGCGCCTGGAAAACTAATACAGCATCCAAACTGCAATAATCCAATGACCTATGGGAATATCAACTACTATATAGGAAACAACAAAGATATACTGTACTTTGAGAGCGGTTCAAAAGGAAAAGAGATTTTTTTAACTCAGTTTATTTCTTGAAATTACAACCAAAGAATAAAGATTGAATAGTTTTAGACGGCATAATTTTCACTTTAGAATATAAATGTATCTTTATGCATCAATATCAAACTATTTTTCGCGTTATAGACTAACATATGCCATCGGCCTCAGATGCCCGGCAAGACTTATAAGTACTATAGAAAAGATCTTATAGGCAAGAACTGGAAATGCGTCAATGGAGTACTTCAATACATCTAGACAATATCTAGTCAGATTCTGGTGAAGAAAGAAGGTTAAATACAATTATAATTCAGAAACAATAATGCAATTTTATTACAAATTTATTTTAATATTAAAGTTTTTATTTTATTTTTTAATTTAGTTATAATTAATCCAGATCAATGTATGGGATACTACATGCTCTATTGGAAAGATTTTCTCAAATATTTTTCAAAAGCTTTGAAAAATATTTTAGAAATATTTTATGAAATAGGTTTAATAATTCGCTTTCGATCAAAAAACATCGTCCTTTCTGCTTAATAGTTCAATATATTTACATTAACAAAAAGAATGGAAAAAATATCAAGAGCCTAAAAAGAAAATGGTCACTTTTCGGATTAGAGGCTTTTAATTTTCTTACTCCAAACACTTCCTACAATAAGATTTTGCAAAAATATTATGGGTGGTAGTCTTGAAAATTAAAACTTGTTAAAATCTACTGTGACAGCGCTGTTTCTACAATAATCAGAATATCGAACACCTTTTTCTCAGAACTCACGAGCAAATTTAAAAGTTTCTCACGATCTTCAATTATTGAAGTCGGTATTAACTTAATTTGTCGACAAAGTTTACCTCAAATAAATTCAAGCATAATTTCGTGACTTGAACCAAAGTCAGATTTCACGATACTTTTCCACGCTCCAATCGTATACTCTCATTGCACTCGTATTCGTTTACGTAGCGTTCTTTATCATCCTACTTTATACTATTTTAAATGGTCACTCGCTTCCTCATTGATTTTTATAAACGTACTCCCGTATTTTACAAAAATGCTCCCATGTTCAGTGTTCTGATTTTTATTATAAATGTCATTCCATATTACCACATGATATTAATGTCGGGAATAACATTTCTTCGTGCATCAATCTTTCTCATCTCGTCCGCTATCCAGGTACCTTCAAAAACATGGTTGCTTATTTCGTACACGTATGCTTATTTCAAACAAGATCTATACAAATGTAACAACAATACACTATTAATGTGTGCACTAAGCAACGGTAAATACAAATTACGTGGTAGCAAAAAAGACACTCGTCTCGTAATAGATTACTATTATTTTTATTCGTTAAACTATTGCATTTTATACGAAGTGAATAGATTCTCAACTTTATCATACAAAAACTCGTCTCGTAAATTAAAAATTCTTTTACTACCTAACAGGTGTGTCCGTACGTGTCGTGCCATTTTGGGATCTTCCTTTTTCATCAAGTTAAATTTATATTCTTAGACAAAGCATACCTGAGGCTTGCATATTATCGCGATTTCAGCTTTTATATTTTCATATGCTTCAAGGATTGTGCGATTTAAATGCAAAGTACGGTTATGTTTGAAAGTCAGGACCTAAAATGAAGCTCCGGTGCTTAACCAAACGCCGCATCATACTTTTTTACCTTGTCTTGCTTTCCCATTCTCTGCCGAACTAATCTTGAATCTACGACAGTCCTCTGCTAAATCCGAGCTTTCGAGTCCTTTCTGTCCGCCGCAAAGCAGCAGCTCGACAGCACGTCAGAGCACAATAACGGAGCAGCGCGACTGCGCCTACTTCGACAAGAATCGGCAACGAAGAAGAGCAAGGCCAGAAAAGGTTCACCGTTCACGCGCGAGCCACCGCTCCTTGCCAAACGACATTGGGTGTGACTTTGTACGAGGCTGTATTATCCATCGGGTGATACACGCCCAGTCACACGCGTGAACCTTGCCTTCAGCCTGAATAATTGCCCTGTTACATAACTTAATATAATCCTGATTGTATTATAAACTAACGATAATATGATTGTAGAGAGTACGTCGCGAATCTCATTTTTTTCTTTCTTTCATAAAAGTTTTTCATCGTTTAATGCGTTTGCAAGCACATTCTTTGATTTATTGGTTCTATCAATATAATATTTATTTTTAATCCTAAATATTGTGACGTACCGATTATTTCTCCCTTCACCAGCGTTATGTATCTTGATTATTGATATTCTTATTGCAAATGACATATAACTAATTAGTCGTTTTCAGAGAAATTGATTAGTATCATGGTCAACACGAGTTACTAGTTAATGTGGAATAGTATTAATTTCAAAAGAACCCGCGTATATCATAATAAAATAATTGGCACGTAACCGCATGACAAATTTTAATTTATCACGGTCGTTGCAGCACACACACTCATATTGTAAGTAATATTGTAACCAAAATTCTTTTAATTTAAAAATTGTCAATATGGTAACTTTTAAGTGGTCAAAAAGAAAATTTGTGCGAGAGTTATTAGCTTAGTGTTGAAAAAAGTTTATGTCGCTATCAGAAATTTAGCTGTAAATTCATGATCAAAAAAGGGGCCTAAAATTTTATTAAAATTTTATTATCAAGTGAAGCTTTGCGTTATCTTATATTATGATTGCCCATTTTTTGCGACGAACGCTAAAGATGGTTGAGCAACAGAAATCATTAAAGCTGTAAACAAGGCTTATTCATCAAAGCAAAAATCAGGAGACATAATAAAACGATGAAAATGATTGCTTTAGAAGATGGTTTATATCTGAAATCGCATTGAATAAAATTAACGGAATTTGGACTTTATACCAAAGAATACTTGGGGAATAAAAATATTTAAAACAATTTTAAGTATTCAAATACTTAAAGTTTTCAAATTATATAATATTTTTTTAAATCATAAGATATATATTTACCAGGAAAAGAGTAGGGTAATGTAGTATATGGATTAAATGTTGCCGGAAGAGGAGGCGGCAAAAAATTCGGATAAGGTGCCAGAGTCACAGCACTGTATGGATTCGGCATACTTCCTTCATCTTTTGCAGGATACGGTAAATATGATGTAGGATTCGATTCTGATGGTACCAATAATGATCCTGAAATACGAAATTTAGAATCTTATATTAGTAAGTATTTTATAAGATTTACTTAAGTTTCAAATCGAGCTGCTAAAAGAAATTAGTTGGTTAGCCATCTAAAAAGCAAAGTACTGAAATATTACGAGAATATCTAATCAAAGAAAAGAGGGGTAATAGTTTAAAACTTATTTCTTCCAAATTTTAACAAATAAATACGAATTCTACAGTATGGGATTATCATTACATCGGTTAGCAATAGTTTTCTTAGCTTTACCTACGAACTTAACCCGTTTCAGCCGAAAACGCGACTCGTAATATACCAGTCTTTGGTATCTCGTAACTCATTCTATAGATATAAAAAAAATTTAGAGTGGTATACTTTAAAAGCTTGAAATAAGCCCTTTCTGTTGGTGAACTCAAAATTGATAAACATTTTTATTTTTATGGATAAATGGCGTTTTAACAAAAAAAAACATGAATTTCCCCTTCTCTTTTTTTTTAAATCTAGTTTTCAAAGTCTTTCACGTTGGGAGTTGACCGGGAACCTTTTTAACCGGTGGAATAAATAATTTAACTTTAAGAATCGATGGTTCAAAGATAGAATTGTGACCTTAGAATTTTCAAAATGACGCCCAAACCCTCAAATTTTTCTAAATAATTTATGATTTTTTTTCTCGGAAACTATGAACTTATAAAAAAGTGCGAAGAAAAAAAAATACTTTAAATCAATTTAAGAATATACCTGAATATTTCGACGACATGAAAAATTTTTTTGTTTTTTCAAATAGCAACTTTTTGCAAAATAAAAAAATTGCTCAAATCCTAAAAATTATCATGTATTCATTGATTAATATTAGGACATTTTACTGTTAATTTTTTTAAACGTATTGCTTTTCAATAAAAAAAATTTATAGCCGTAAGTAACGTCTTGTTCATTCTTTTTTTATTTTCGCGATACCGATTAGTAAGTAACATGGTTCGAGATTTGTAATTCTTCGAACATTTTGTGCTTGGGAGTTGATAACAGTTTACATTCCTTTGATTTTACTGAAAAATTTGAGTTTACCATAATAAAGGGATTATTTCAAGCTTTTAAAATATGTTTTCCTCAATTTTTTTTTTGACATTTATCCAATGAGTTACGAGATGCCAAAGACTGGTATATAGCGAGCCGTTTTTTGGCCGAAACAGGTTAACTTTGATTCAATTTGATTAAAAAAGTCTAGATTTCAAATACAACATACTGTCTATGCGTAAAGTTATAATACTCGGACGTGAAAGATTTTCGTAGTACGAATAACACAAAAAAAAAGACAGTGGGATTTCGATGCACGTCTACGCGTTCAAACTCGCTCTTCTCCCTTACGTACTTTTTCTAGTCATTGACGTTCTTTTTCACTCATTTCTTCGTAGTTCTCTCTCTCTCTCTCTCTCTTTTACTCTCTCTTTCGCTCTCTCTTTCTGTCTCTCTCTCTTATCGCCATCTCGTTTGCTCACGTACCCTGAAAATAACGATTAATATTAATGACGTTGTAGAGTTACTAATTGTTGCTGATGATTTTTATTTTCTTGACCTTGGTTTTTGGTTTTATAATTTAGTAGTACCTCGAATCATTCTTTTGTAAATGAATAATATAGTCTCCCAGGGCTCCAAAATGCCATAAGACCAACATCATAGTTATTATTATAATTATTGTAACGATTGTATATGTAAATTTTGATTAAATTGATTCGACTTTCTGGATTAGGTTACTGAGTTATATTTTTTGAGATTATGCGCCTTTCTTATTAATTCTTCAAAGTCTAGATCATAGTAGAGACAGTGCCTTTTTAAATTTGTACCATCCGTCGTGCTATATATATATATGTATAATTGATTCCTCTGATCTAAGACTTTGAGTAAATTGGAATCTCGATTGCCGATGATTAGACCAATGTTGGATGTTGGGTGGTCCAGCCACTTGTCACACGAGCGCCCAAATAAGTGACGACGAGAGTTTGTAATAAGCGATTCTATCTGTGGTTCATTTCTAATGCACTTTGGGTTTGCCGACAGTAGCGCTCTTGGTTGCAAATTCACCCTACAGCTTTGCCTTTAATCTGCGAGCTAATTTAGAATTGATCTGATCGCAGTTGCCGCAAATTCATATATTGTCACGCCGAGCCTTGTTCTCGTGTTATTATTTGTCGTGCTGATAAGCACGATTAGCAAATAATTTTTTTTCATATTATTACTTTGCATTCTGTTTACTGACTGCAACCAAGCATTGTGAGAAGCTCACGAAAAGAGTCTGCGTCAATGTACAGTACCGTCAATGTCATTGAACGGTACTGTACTTTCAGTTGACGAGTGATGATTAGATTGTATATTATACTGCTTATATAGCCACCAGTACTGTTCAAATTGTAAACGATTCCCACACGTACTTTTCTATTTATAGTATGTGTAAAGAAAAAATGGAGCTTATGTGTTTGATGTGTATTGGGATGATACAAGTAAGCTTGTCGATCGTCTTCAATTACATGTAGCTGAATAATCAGCAGGTAACAGTAATTATATCAACGATATCCATTCGATAATTCAGGAACTACATGAGGATGGATATATATTGAGAGCATTACTACCATTTATTCATTATCAAAATGAGCGTTGACTTATTCGGACGTAAACTTTGATATCGAGTTAAAGGCCGTTGCGGTCCACCAAGTCTCGGATTCAAGCTTATGTCAGAAGGTCATTCGATCTGCCAAATAGGAGATTAGAGAATGTTGCTCCACCACTAAATTCTGACGATACTATTAACTTGCAAATTGATGAACGCATCGTTCAGTTCAAAACAGTTAAAGACACCATCATAGTATACTTGAAAAGTAACCTCAATCACTTAGTTTCCCTTATAAAAATTAAAATAAATAAATCAGAGATAAAAATAGGTACTCATGATAAACAAGTAGACGTGTCTTCCGATAGAACATCAAAAAGTGGTGGAAGAGCTTTGTTTGCGCTTATCGTGCTCCTTAGCATTAGAAAGTGTAGATTGTGTCTACTCTACGTGTTGCCCTTCTGGCCGCGTAAGCTGGTACACGATTTCTCTTTTGGATAGGATATAAAAAAGGGGAAAAAGACGTGCGCCTAACCAGACATATCATCGCAACATCTTCGTCACTACAATTTCGGGAAAACCCACTTCGTCCCTTTAGTCGGTAATCAAGTTTATGGCTTAAGATACGTCGCTTTAGTGCGCGTGATAAATTATATGCAGCGCTGACAGCGCTATTAGCGAGGAGGGTTCATATGGACTATGCTACGCGTGGGTCAGCCAAAATTTCCATTGTTCTTCTCTAAGGATCTAAAGGAGTAGGGATGTGCTTGGCAAATTTTCCTGTTAAGGAAAATTCGATGACGCAGTAAGTTCTGTTCATGAAATCGTGCAGTAAGTCTCGCATTAAGACTCATCTGCTTTTCAACTCCTCCCGATACCCGCTGAGTATTGCAGTCCGGTTGCTTTGTGATAACCTTCGACTAGAGACGATACCTGTGTAGGCTTGTACGAAAAACTTGAACAGTATTCTATATGTGCATATGACGGTGCAGACGTGCACCTTCGTCACCCATTACTTGAGGAAATCGACGACGCACACAGGGCTATGGACAGGAGTGCGTGCTGCCTTAGTAGAGGAAGCGCTATTTCCTCTGGAGTGTGCTCCACGTCGCCAACCTCATCAACTGCGGAATGCTAGCGAGGGCTGTCCCCGTTGGATCTCACTTTTGAAGCGTCGTCTGGTAAGCGAAATATGGCCATTCAATTCCGTAGGATTTTATATGAGTAAGCGAGCCAGTAACCCCCCCCCCCCCGCCATCCTTAAGGCATTTTTATAATAATTAATAATTTGATTTGTATACTTAATGTTATATATATATATATAACTTTCAAATTCATTATTAATAAAATTTAAGTATTATAGTTAAAATATCAATAATTTCTTGTTAATCAAAAATAGTTCAGATATAACGAAATATAATTTATCAAATATATTTTGGATACACATATTCAATCAGTCAAAGCATTATTGATATTCACATATAGGACTATATAGCGATATTACCATTCACTAAAAATTTTATATTTTATTGGACCAAATACTGTATATATATACACATACACACACACCTATATATTAATTTATATTCTCGGTACTTATCTAAATCTTATAAAAGTTATCCTCATATACGTAGTCTGGAATTTCTTTACTTATATTAGTTGTATAATTCGTTGAATTATTTACTACTATTATTGGTTTATTTCAATCGTTGACGAAAGATTCAATGATCACGTGTTTGTGTATCCACTTTCCTGTTATAAATCTAAGCATCGTGCTACTGCGACGATCCGGTATATAAGTATAGTAAACCGCGCACTCGGACGAAGAGCCAATTGAAAAAAATAGCACTGACCATTCAAGATCGAGTCAGCTCAGGGCAAAAATGTGTCTCACGCTACGAGCGACTGCACCCTTCTAGCCCATCGCACGTATCACTTTTTCATTATTAACAATATATTATGAATGATATTCTTCATTATAAACAATAAAGTTAGTGGACTCTCTAAGGATCGGCTAAAATTGTCAATTCGTATAGTGATTATTATGATAAGCTAACATAACGCTCATTAACGTCAATTTTGGCGGTAACAGAGTTCATAGCCTCTACCTATGCTAAGCCCGTGGGGTACCTACATGTGGAGATTCTTCTCCACTTCCGGGTGAGGTCTCTTCTAGCTTATAAAAACAGGATTCTTCTTATAGGCTAGAAGAGACCCCGCCCGAATGAAATAAACAAAATCAGAAACCAATGCGCGTTTTATAGATTGAAAGAAAAATTATACAAATATCCAGTCGGCCCGTATAGATTGACAAGGGTTTGTTGTGCAAAAATCTCAATTTGAAACTAACCTATGCCCGTCCACCGCAGTCAGTGATCTCAGGAAAGAAATTAAATAAGCTACAGCTGAAACAAA